TAGGATCACAAGTCTCCATCTTGTACAGCAATTAACCACTAAGAAGGATATATGTAGTGTATTATTTGTTGAAACTGTACTTTCGATTTGATTTGAAACTGTCTCATTGCTATATGTTTATCAATAAAACTTTGAAAAGAAAAAAAAAGAATCACCAAATGCAAAAAATAAATAAATAAATAAATAAATAAAAATAAATAAATAAGTGTAATGTGGGCCTTAGAAATTGTCTATCACCCCATGGAAGAGCTTCATGGCTTGGGGAGTTTACTGATGGTGCTGTGTGGATTTTTCAGTGTGTAACTATCTCCTTGGAATTACATACAAGAACTCAAATTGGACATACAATGGCTGTGAGAATTGCTCTTGTGATCAAAACGGAGTGAAATGCTGCACTACGTGAGTATCAATCTAGTAGTGGCTAAGAGGAGGCCTGGCAATCTCTAAAGAGCAAATGTTTTTTCTGCATTCAAGATCCCACCTTTTGTACCTGTATATGGTAAACTTAATTTTGTAGAGTACTTTTAGATTCACAGTAAAATTAAGTAGAGACACAAATTTCTCTTGCATGTCCTTCAACTAAGTGTACAAAATCACACACTGACAACATTTCCATAAATGGTTTCATATCCTACCACTCAGAGCCTCTGTCTATATATGATCATCAACCAGACTCTGCAGTGTACTTGAGGATGCCCCCTGTATGTGGTGGAGGGATTTAGTTTTCACTCGTCTATCTTATACAGAACAAGTTCATATAACACTTTATACTATTGTATAACATGCAACACCCTTCCAACCATCAGTCCGCTCCCCCTATTCTCCAACTCTTGGCCATGACCATCTCCTTTCTCCGCCTGTAGATGTCACTTCTCTATAGCTTTTATACCTATATCCCCAAAATATTTGGCTGGTTGAGCTTACTGAACCTAGCTTGACATCCTCAAGTTTAATCCTTTATGCTGCATGTGTCAGGATACTTTTCTATTTCAAGATCTGTAACATTGCCTTTCATGGGAAGAACACATTATGTTTATCAATTGTTCATTCACCTATAGATGGGCAATTGGCTTGCTATTTCCTTATTTTATTTCTATTTACATATTCATCATACTTATTCTGAATTATGTGCATTCAGTTTCCTGGACACAAAATATCGTATCGAAATGGTTATATGCTATTCTAGAATTTGTCTTGACAACCACTGTATTCTTGGCCTTGGGGAATTTTAAGAGCACAAGTGATACAAACACAAGCAGATGAAAGAACTGAGATGTATCTGTGGTGACCTGTGTCCCTTGTCCTGTAGTGCCTGTGTGCCTTCATTGATTGCAAAGAAACCACAGAAGCCAAAGAGTCTTCAAATTTTTTTTGCAGGGGGTGGGGAGGGTTTCTAGGGATGATAAAATTTCAACTCTTGGAGGACAGAATACAGATATCTGCAGTCATGTCGCAATAGGGCATCTCTTTTTCATCCCTGGATCCATCTGATGTCATTCTGCCCTGGATTTTAGTGTGTTCCAGAATATTAGTAGTACTTGTCTTATTTGCTTGGTTTTTTTGTGCTGTTAGCCTTGAATCCAGGATGCATATATGTTAGGTCAGTGCTCTAGCACCAAATTATACTTGTGTTCAACAGGACCATCTTTGTTAAGAGAAATATTTGGGTGAAGTAGCATTTCCCAAAGTTACCTCTCAAGCTGAATATAACCAAGCCCCTCGAAGAGTTCCATGTGAACACCAATTATTAGCATAAAAAGCATCTGACCTAAAAGGAAAACTTGGATCTTATAGGCATCAAAGTATCTGGAAATTTCTACCTACATTCAGTGTACAGGGCAACAAAACTGTTTAATATAAAGACTTGGGTAAATAACTGCCTGCTACAGCTCCATCTTATTTTAGTGATTCTTGATTATGTCTTTTTTTGGCACGTAATATTTGATTGCACAGTTTGGCTATGTCCTGACCATGTTCTGGGGTGTCAACAATTTCTCCCACACAAGGGAGCACTCCAGCCTAGGTATTAAACACTGCACTGTTTTTCATTGTTCATTCATCCATCGTACTCTTCTCCATGACTCCTGAAAATTGAGTATAGAAAAGTAAGTGTTGGTTCTGGTGGTAAAGGGGGGAAGTGAGAGGAGCCTCAGTGCTGGATGGACAGTGATTTCAATATGAATAAACTTAATCTTGTTTCATAGTTGTGTGTCCTTGGGGAAGATGCTGAGTTTCTCTCTTTTTATTTATTCTGTCTTGTGGATTATCAGGTAGATACGAGAACTAATTCTTTTTGCAATCATTCATTCCCCTAGAAGAGTACTAGGACAAGTGGTAACAAGAGTGCAGGTATCAAGATGCTCATTTTTTCTTCCTGTCCTATGTGGCATGCTGTTGCACTCTGGGAACACGTGATTATTTGTCTCCACTGTCAGAACCAGATTCTCCTTCCTCTGGGACTGACAACATCAGCTTCTTCATGACTTTTCGTTTTCATTTTGTGTATAGGACAGTTCTGATTTGTTTGAGCTTTGCTGAGACAGTATCTAAACCCATGGCCCCCTCTGTAGGACACTGAACAAATTCCCATGTACTCAGTGTCTTCAGGCCCAAGCCAAGGCTCTCTGGGAAGGGCAGAGAAGTGTCCTGGCCTTTGCTCTGTACAGGTCCAACCCCACCCACAGCCAGCTCCAAGACTCCAATGAGCAAGGCACAGAACCAAGGTCATCCGGCAGCCAACCAGGGGCATAGATCACCTGATGTCTGTGTTGTCCGTGCTTAGACTTCCTGCCCTATTTCCTCTCCCATTCCAGGTCCAGTGGGACTAAATTTGTATCCATTGAAGGGCCCTGTGACCCAGCAACATGGTCTTGCACAGACGAGTCAGAATTATACATGTTCACTATCTCTCAAACACATGTGAAGGATTAGGTACCATTCTATAATCACTAGTTCATTTTTAATTATTTTCTATTGGAATAAAACATGTATTACATGAAATTTTCAAATTAACTATTTTCTAGATTAAAATTCACTGGCATTGACTGCATATATAATATTGTTTAACCATATCAATTGTTTTCAAGATGCTTTATAGTAAAATTTTCCCATACTTTGGATTGATTCCAGGGCTTCCTCCATGATGACCTTGATACCTGATTTTTCCCAAAGCTTCATAAAAACTTCAAAATTAAACTCTACCCTTTAATTTTCATTTCTACCTTGTGCCCATCCCTGGAGTCCTGGAATCTAATCTTGTCTCAGTGACTTTGCCAAACCCATCATGGTTGCCTGTTTTGTGGGCTTATTTCCTTCAGCTACTACTCAAGGTCCAGCCCAGTTTCTACATGGTAGTTTTTTTCCTCCAATCACAGCAACAGCTCTGAGCTTGATACACACACTTCTTTTATATACTTCTTTCTCCATTTCTGTGTGGAGAGACTTTGGGATACCTACACTTTCATGTCATTTATAGCAATTAACTGGAAGAATCATATATAGTGGGTTTGCATCTCTACTTTATGATCTTTTAGGTGCTAACTGGAAGTAGACGAGGTGACAATACCAATTTATGAGTTTGATTTAGGGACTATTGAAGTGTATTCCTCTGTAGTTGCAACACTTCACATTTGCAACTGTAAACCTCTGAATTGTTAATGACTTTAAATTATAGTTTCATAATGCAATAAAAATTATTTATTAGTAGACTATTGGAAAGTACTTCATGGTGTTGGTGATTTCTTTTGCTGTGCAAAAGCTTTTTAATAGGATAAGCTCCCAGTAGTTGATGCTTTGTAGTATTTCCCATGTGTTTAGGGTTTTCCTTATGATGTCTTTGTTTACACTTATGTATTCAAGAGTCCTATCTATTTTCTCTTCTGGCAAATTTGGTGTTTCTCTTTTAATATTTAGATCTCTTTTCAATTTTGATTTTAATTTAGTGCATCAAGAGCAGCACGTGTCTTGTTTCAATCTTTTGCATATGGAAAGTCAATATTTCCAGCACCATTGTTAAAGAAACTATCTTTCTTCTAGTGAATTTGTTTGCAACCCTTGTCTAAGTTAAGGTTACTGACTATGTTTGGAGTTGTTTCTGCATCTTGTAATCTGTTCTGTTGATCCTCAGAAAAAGCATTAGACAAAACCCAACAACCATTAGGAGAGAGAGAGAGAGAGAGAGAGAGAGAGAGAGAGAGAGAGAGAGAGAGACCGTAAATTGGGCTCTACACGATTTTTATCTCAATCTAGTAAAAGCCATCAATAATGAGCAGTATCATACTAAGTTGTCAGAAACTGAAAGCTTTTACTCTAAAATCAGGAACAAGACAAAGATATCTCCTGTCACCACTCCTATTCAGTATAATTCTGGAAACATCGCCAGAGCAACTAGATAAGATAAAAAATAATGCAAATGGGAAAGGAATAAGTTTAATTATTATTTACAGATTACATGGTTCTGTACGCAGAAGATCACCAAAACCTCACCAAAAGACTTCTAGACTTAATAACAAAATTCAGTCCTACAGCTGAATACAAAGTCATCACTCAAAATTCAACAGCATTCCTGCACAAAAATAACAAACTCAATGAGAGAGACATTAGAGAAACCATCTTTGACAATAGCATAAACAATTAAATACTTAGGAATCAATCTATCACAGGATGTAAAAGATTTCTGCACTAAAAATTATGGTATTCTGGCAAAAGAGATCAAAGAGGAGAAAAGAGAAAGATGTTCCTTGCTCGTGAATGGGAAGAACCAACACTGTGAAAATGTCCATATCCCCCAAATTGTTATCCAGATTTAATGTAATTCTGAACAAAATACCAATAGCATACCTCACCAAACTCGAGAAAACATTCCTAAAATTCATTTGGAACCAGAAGGGACATAACATAGAAAAAAAAATAATTCTGGGCAAAAAAGGCATTGTGGGGGCATCACAATTTCTGACTTGAAATTATACTATAAAGCTACTATAATAAAACAGTATGATACTGGCAAAAAAAAGTTTTACATATTTTTGATACAATTTGCCTAATTAACAATAAAGCATCATCACTATTCCATCACAAAAATTCTACAGAAAAGCTTGGAGTACAACATGTGGTATGTTTTTCTCTTAATTAAATCAGGACCTTAGAGCCCAAGGCATGATTTCAGAGTTTGCTTCCACCCACAGGACAGTGTTCCCACAGGTATCTAACTATTTTGCCTCATCTTCTGGTCCAGTGTCCCTGGTCCCCATGAACCGATTCCTGTCCTCCTGTTTAGTGCATCATCAAGGTTTTCCAGTATCCTGGAGCCACAGAATAAGTACTGAAAAGACACACTGCTTTAGATGGATGAGTAAAGTGTTCAGAATAACCTCTTTTGCCAAAGTAGAAATCCAGTATCACCTCATTAATAAAAATATTGTCCCAGAGAGCCCTAAAATTAAATACTTTTGTCCATCATGGGCTCATAAAATTGAGAGGCATTTGATGAGGTTCAAGGGGGCAGAAATTATGCATCACTGAGTGTGTGGTGGATTTTCCTGTGAATTGCACACCACCTTAATCTTCTCCTGAGGTCCATAAATCCAACCTGAACAGCTCCTTGCTCCTATTGTGGAAATAGGTGCTTGGGTATCAGTCTTCTCTACTAGATGGAGACAGCCTACTCTTCCACATTTCCCTGGCAACACTGCTGTCACTTTCTGAACATGGAGATGAAGGAGGCCTGGGCTGGACAAACTGTGTTGTACCAGAATGTGGCAGAACTTGCCTAGATCTGCCAAAATGTCTCTGTCTGCTGTCCATGCAGACAGCAATGTGGAACCCATGTGATGATAATCTATGTGACTCTTGGCTATAGATAGGATGAAGTTTCTTGGGATTCCCCTAAGTCTGCCAGCTGAGTTGTACTATAGATTAATGAAGTGCATTCCAGCTAGCAGAAGTATAAGCTGCTTCATGCACAGAGCTGCCCTGGGGAACAGGATCCAGTAACTGGGGCTTTGTTTTTCTAACAGTGTTATCTTCATTACAGGCTTGCTATACCTACACAGTATGATGAAGAAAATTGTCATCCCATTTTCCATCAGGAAAACTGTACCTACACTGTAGTGGACAATGAAGACCCAGAAAAGCCCTGTGCTGTAGGCAACTGGATACTGTAACATCCTCTTGTATGACCAGAACTTTAATGCCACCCTTCTTGCTCCTAAACCTCTGAAAGCCTGTGATTTGGTGGCCGTATCTAGCAATAAAGTAATTCTTCTAAAACCTTTAGATATGCCTGTTTTAATATAACAAATTCTATCTACAGCAATTTAATGCACATTAAAAATCTCACAAATATTTGAAGGTGGAGACAAATAATCTAAATGAAATTTATAGTATGTTTCCCACACTGCAAGCAGTCATCATGCATGGTTCCCAAGAGAACCACTGCTACCTCTCCCACTTTTCACACATCTCACTTCCGCATCTTTTTCTTATGGACAAAATAAAAATAAGTGTATCTTTGAGATATTAGATCCTTTTTCCTTTTCAATGTTTATGTCCAACTGCTGACTTTTATTCAGGTAAAGTCCTGTCTTCTCTGCCCCTACATCCTTGTGTTACAGCTGGTCAATTTGGGGCCTAAAGGTCCCCAAACTCACCCTCACTGGGCATCTCTTTCTTTGCAACATAGAAAGAGAAACAGAAGTCAGAGAAGATAAGTGCAAAGTTAAAGTACTATATTATAGGTGCTGCAAAAGGAAGTGCTACAGTGTCATCCAGAGAGAGTGGGGAATGCAGAGCTGGAGCGCTGCAGAACCTTGGGCTGTGGTCCTATTTTATGGGATGGAGGCCCTGTCTCCACCTTTCACAAGGGTCAACCCTTGATGGATTATATGTTGGGCTTGTTTGCAGGAGTCTGGTCTTGAGGGCTAATAGGGGGATTTGCGTATGCATGGCAACCTGCACTGGGAGAGACAGTGCTGCCTGTACAAAGACAGGTGTTGAAACCACAACCTGTGAGCTTCAAACCACAAAACTGCTTAGAAACTCCTAGCTACTAATAGGAGCACAGAGGCTGCTTTTTCTTAAACTTGAAAATATCTGTTAACCCTTCCCAAGGGTCTCATCTGTCCCCACCCCTCTGCACTGGCCTAAGGTTAGAGTAGGGAACTGAAAAGGTTCTCTCAGAAAGCAGTGCAACCTCATAAAGAGTCAAGTCCAGGCCTCTGTCTTCAGGGTCCAACCTGGATACATGACATTTGATGTCTCTTTCCACATACAAACACCCAAAATGAAGTGACTTCTAACAGTGACAGTATGCATGCCCTTTACAGTTTCTGGGATGTACAGCTTGTGTTTGCTTCACTCAGTGCTATTTGCCTGGGCGAAGCAGAATGTTAGGCCAGGCATGCAGCAGTGAACAAAGAAGCTAGGACCTTGTTGTTCTAGGCTTAGAGATGTTGTGAGTAACCGAGTTCGAATGGCAGTCGGTGGGCAACTGACAGGGTTTTATTTTCTCATACAGACCACCCATGTTCAACCTTGCTATGTGGATTCTTCAGCATCCTAGGCAGACCCCAAAATTTTATGGTGATTCTGGGTTATAGTATGTCTTTTTGTTGAATTTCAGTTCCAGAAGGTCTCATTTCAAAGTTGTCTTCTTTCTTGAAGTAGAAATGTAGGACAGATAGTTAAGAGTTTAACATAGTCCTGTTTTTTTTTCCTTTGTTTTGTATTTTCTTCATAAATACTGTTTTGTATGAGAAAACTTTGTCCTTATGCACATGGACATGTGGTATAACTGCAAGTTCTGGTATGCTATTTGTGCTCCATATCTTCATACTTTGCTTTCACAGCCATTTCTGCAGCAACAGTTGCTCCCTAGGTATATTGAAAGATGTGTTTGTGCCATAACTGAATACACCCTTCTTTACTCACCAGCGACCTCTCATTTTTTATTGTTCCTCTTTCTCTAAGTTCCATATATATATATATATATATATATATATATATTCTATCCACTATGTATTTAAGTTTTTATTTTTCTTATTCCATTATTTTACTCTCTATGTTCACTTTTTCTATTATTTTTCCAATTGTTATGTCTTCTATTTTTATGTATTTAGCATAGGGTCTGCAGGGTCTCACTACACAGATTGGACTCTTAGTGATCCTCCTGTTTTCAGCCTCCCAAATTCTGGGATTACAGTCTTGCACCACCACACCCAGTCTCAGTAGCCATCTAAGCACACCCCGAGGGTGGGGCTGGCACTGCAAACCAGGAAGCTAACCCTAGTCCCTGTGCCTGCACATGCAGGAGCTTTGGTCTGCTGAGCTATCTGACCGGCCCTACTGTGTCTTCTTTTTCATGTATGTATATTATATGTAATAGTCTAAATATCAGTGATGGTTAATTTTTGCTAGAGTACTATTAAAACACTCTTTGTATCCTCTTTTGGGTTAAATACTAGAAAATTTTGCTTTGTGTTCTTAAGAAAATCTATGATTAGTTTCAAAATGTTGAATTTAGAGGCAGTTACTTTTTTCTCTCAACATGAACCCAGTATTTGAAATAGATTAGTAAAACCACGTAGAATAAGCTACAATCCAAAATTCACCACAAGTGAGAAATGCCTATAAAAAAGTACCCTACACTGCAATGAGACAGTCTACTCAACTGAATTATCCATATGGCTAACGATATGGCAGATGGTGAAGAGCGGAGAAGAAAAGAAGAAGAGTAGAGGAGTGCTGGCTGAGAAAATGGCATTGATGGTGAGTGTAGGGACACTGGAGACTGGGGAGGTTGCTGTAACTGTGTAAAGAAGTTTGTTGAGCTATCTAGACCCTTCACACACCCTGATTTCAAACCGAGCACTGAATCTCCAGTTTTTGTTAGATACATGTTAAGTTCTAGTCATTAGAGCAGATGGCTTAGGATGTGAGCTCCTGAAAAATCTGGCCTTATCTGGTTTTAAACAGATTCATTTCATAGACATGGACACTATAGATGGTTCCAATCTAAATAGGCAGTTTTTATTTAGGCCTAAAGATGTTGGGAGACCTAAAGCTGAATTGCAGCAGAATTTCTAAATGATAGAATTCTTAATTACAATGTAGTTCCACATTTCAATAAGATCCAAGATTTTAATGACACTTTCTATTGACAATTTTATATCATTGCTTATAATAATATGACTGTATTATAATCTGACTCTATCATAGCCAGAAGATGGATAAATGGAATACTGATATCTCTTCTAAATTATGAAGATGGTATGTTATATCCAAGCTCTATTGTCCCTATGATAGATGGAGGAACAGAAGGTTTTAAAGAAAATTCTTGGGTGATTCTCCCTAGAATGACTGCTTGTACTGAATGGACACTGGAACTTTATCCACCACAGGTGACATTTCCCATGTGCACCACTGCATCTATGCCCAGGCTACCAGAGTTTTGTATTGAGTATGTAAATATGTTGCAGTGACCTAAAGCGCAACATTTTGGAGAAGGTGTTCCATTAGATGGAGATGATCCTGAACATATTCAGTGGATATTTCAAAAATCTCTAGAGAGAGCATCACAGTATATTAGAGGTGTTAAATATAGACTTACCCAAGGGGTAGTAAAACAAATCACTCCTGCAGTCCCTTCCACAAGTGCAGTCATTGCAGCTGAGTGTGCCACTGAAGTTTTTAAAATAGCCACAAGCATATATATTCCCTTACTAATTATTTGATATTCAGTGATGTCGATGGCCTGTACACTTATGTATTTGAAGCAGAGAGGAAGGAAAACTGCCCAGCTTGTAGCCAATGTCCTCAAAACATTCAGTTTTCTTCATCAGCTAAACTGCAGGAAATTTTAGACTATCTAACCAATAGTGCTTCTCTGTAGATGAAATCTCCAGCGATCACAGCCACAGCCATACTAGAAGGGAAAAATGAAATGCTTTACTTACAGCCAGTAACCTCTATTGAAAAATGAACAAGGCCAAATCTTTCCAAAATGTTGAAAGAATTAGGATTTGTTGATGTAGATCTGGCAGTTGCTGATGTCACCACAGCACAGACTGTAGTATTCACACTTGATTTTACCTCCTAAAGAAAATGAATTTGAACATAATTGAACAATTTATGGAAATAATGTACTTCATGGATGCTAATAAATTGAATTTATGCAATTTTTAGGTAGTGTTGTTGAAATTTGACTCTTTAAATATAAAGAATTACTCTTTAAATTAAGAGAAAGTAGCTGTATACCTATCCTATTTTGTATATACAGATCCAAAATGGTCCTTCATTTATATCCCCCTTTTTTATTTAGGTTTGTCAGAAATGAGCATTCCATTGCCATTCAAATATTGTAAGTGCTTGAAATCAGCAAAATAACCCAACCTAGTCCAATAGTCTATAATAGTAGTGGGTTATCCGCAGAACTGGCAATGTCAGAAGTTGTTGACTTGAGCCTTTCACAGCTCAGCATATTAATATGGCTTTCCTTTTTACAACTCTGACAGGAATCACCCTTCAAGTCTGCATAAAGCAGTCCAAGGCTTCTCTTTACCATATATTCCAAACTCTCCAAACTACTCCCAAAATACTTTGGAGAGCTTCTAAACCTTGTGATTAGTCTCGTCACACCAATGAACCATCCGTTAACCTTGTAATCTTTTAGTCTCTCTCTCTCAACACTGGGACATAATGCTTCACACCTGTAATATAAAAAAAGGCTAATCTGATTTTCCCTAGCCATTTCAGGAGGTCCAGCACATGCTTTTATGCCTTTATAGTGAACATGGACTGGAGAAAGGGTCTACTGAAGCAAATTTGAGTAGCTAGAAAACAAAGAAGTTCAGCAGGAGGGAGAGGAGAAGGACAAAATATGAGAAAGCTAGACACAAAGACAGAGAGGAGAGGAGAGAAAGTGAGAGAGAGGAGAGAGAAAAGCTAGACCAACTAATTTCTACTGCCAGATCACACAGCCAGTGAACCATATCCTGCCATCCTAAACAACACAGTTACTTATGAATCCCTTAAAGGAGTAGCTCACTGAGGAAGACATCACTCTCGTGATGGGTCATCGCCCCATGCCCCAACCCTGGACATCAGACTTTCAAGACACATTTTAATTTTTACCCGTGACATAACACCAATGTTCTCCCATTCTTTCCACATAAAAGAAAGGAGAAAACTCTGTTTATCCAGCATTACACTTATTTGAATACCAGATAAGGATTTTAAAAAGAAATTTGCAGAGCAATATCTTTGATGAAATTAAATGA